GTTTTTTACACTTGCTGCACATCTGACGACGAACTTGGGGACCGGATCCGACATTTTTCTCAGTTCCCAATCGCGCTCATTTTAATGCTACTTATGTTTCTTCGAATTTTTATATTTCAGTATATATATATATATATATATATATATGTCCCCGAAAGAACAGCGTTAAGAGCATGTTCGTTAAACCTAATTGAGGAGCTCATCTGTTAGAATAGGTATTCCCGATCACAGCCGACCGGACACCGCGCCCGTGGTTCAGTGATAGAGAGTCAGACTTCGGGACGAAATATCGCGGTTTCAAATCGCAATCGATCCGCACTTGGATTTAATTATGATAACGGCTAAGAGGCCAGAAATGACCATTCGGGTCTGCTTTGTCTTTGTCGATAGTATCTCATTTACTTATAAAACTAGTCGCTGTGTGTGCCTTTGAGTGTTCTAGTATCGGCCTAAATGCACATCGGAAGAAGCACGTTCCGTTACCTGATCTGTCAATATATATATTTCGAAGTATGAGTCCTTTGGGAAAATGAACGAACTTTATTTCGTAAATTTTCGAGTCTGGATGCCACCTCGTCTTCAGACGTGTATGTAGTGTGAAGAAACAGTCAAAATTTAAACACGCCCAAAAAATCGATATCGCTTTGTCAGGGCTGAGGATGGGCTAATGCTGTGGGCTGATGTCACGTCGTGATTGGCTATTACCTTTTCCATTTTTCCGTGAGATTTGTGTAATTGGCGTCAAGATCGATGTGTCGATTGATGCATGAATCATCAGAGTGAAAAGCCTCTAGGAATTCTCGGCCTTTCTTATGTGGGCAGGAACCGACAATGCGTGTTATATACCAAGCGAATTTGTGTCCAGTTTCAAGAGTATGCATGGCGACTTGGGATAAGTATGTGTAGAGGCGGATTTTCCGGTTTGACCACAATACGCTGCATTACAAGTGCCACGTGCATTTTTATGAACTACTTCTTTTTTTATTTAAATAGCCAGCCCTATTCTTAGGGTCTACAAGCTCATTGCGTAGCGTTGTCGTCGGTTTGTGAACTAACTGTATTTCGTGCTTCCTCAGGTGTCTTTTAACGAGTTCAGACACATTTTTAATGTAGGGAAGCGTTCGCCACTGTTTTAGTTTTGGCGTCTGAACGGAAGAATCTGGTTCCTTCTCTCATTTTTTGATTCCTGCTGTTTCATGCATCGGCGTACAAAATCCCTAGGGGAGCCATTTTAGGAAGATAGGTTGAACAGATAATTGAGTTCTTCTTTTTACCCTTTGTTCTCAGAGCAATGTGTCTTTGCTCGATTACTTAGGGTGTTAACAGCGCTCCGGTTGTGAGCCATAGGGTGGTTGCTTTGTAGTGTGGGATAACTTCCGTTTAAGTTTCTGTTACGGCTCTTACTTGTCCCTTAATGCTTTTCTGCATATGTATCTGCGTATTTCACTCTGTCCGAAAGGATCTGTTTTGCGTTTACTGTAAATGCTATATAATAAGTTACCACCTCCCTGTTTGGAATGTACTCCGTACAGTATTTCCTCATCAGGACTAATTATTGCTCCATGTACGATCTCTGTCACATTGAAATGTAGAACCTCCATGCATATACAGTATACATCAAAACCGGGCTTGGATAATTGTTTTTGACATTTAATTCTTGAGGCTTTATATAACAGCAGAAAATGTAAAATGATTGTTAAAATCAACGGACCTAATTGATGTTGAAATGTTATTCATCTCTATTATCTGCATATAAAGACCTATCTCTTAATAACCCCCTACTGTTTTCTAGATTCAAACAACCTCAATGCTGGTGAGATTGCAGGCGTAGTTATAGCAATTCTGATCGTTCTCCTCCTCATCATTTTACTCATCGTAGGTTTAAGCCGAAGAAGTAAAAAGTGAGCGATCTATTGAAATATATAACATTTGAAGTTTGCACCCTTCCTTTATTTTCTGTCGATAATGGCAGGCGTTTTACATTTTCTACAGTACAAATGTTATCAAGAAGGATAAGTAGACCGCATGAGAGTTAAAATATATAGCACATTTCCTTCAAGATACTAATGAGCGTTATGCGAAACTATTTTTTTAGTGATTGGAATACAGACGCCTTTGATTTGAGGTGAGGACCGGTCAATTTTTTGTATATTTGTTTCTGGGGTTCGTTTAAAGTACTTGGACGTCACAGACTTTCCCTGCCCTTATTGCACGCAGTCAGTGCACACTAGTGTTTACTTAATGTTTTTGCTTATTCCGGTCTCCCTTTGCGGAGTCTTAATTCTTCTCCAATTAAATACGTTGCAGATCTGAATACGACCCACTAGAGGTTTGTTTTATAAGCCATTCTTTGCTATATTTAAATGTCTAGATTTTAAAAGCAACAATGTTTTCTAAACAAAGTTTATCTTTTTTGTTAGGAGTGTTTTAATTTGAACGTGTAACGGTAAGCACAGTTCACATATGTCCTCTAATGGGATTTTGTGTTTTGACAGTTAACAATTAGCGTATATTTCAGTTTTTTAGGAATGGACAGCTCTTCCCCCTTCGCTAACTACGGCCACTGCATTATTTTTGATTATCACTAGATCTTTTCAAGAGGCTATCTTTGTCATTTGGAATACAGATTCGTCAATGCGTCGTATCTCGTTTACACAAGAAATTTCAATTTGATATTTTTACATTTATTGCGTTCAAGGATTTGCGCTGCGTAGAAATATTAATTTTCCAAATGGCCATCAAATTGAGTACTCAAAGTTTATTTTAGGGTTTCTGGATAAAATCAGAAGTAGGTGACTAACAAGTAAATTATGTTTTAAGGAGATTATGCGATTTATTGTTAATGCAGCTGTTAAATGAGGACTTATTGCTATCGGCACAACAGCAACGACAGAAACGGGCAAAAAATGTTTTAAAACAAAGGCTGTACTATCCCAGGTAGCCTCGTATGTAATACTTTAACTTTTAAATACATGAGAAGCTGTTAAAACAAACAACGATGGAGAACGATGTCAAGCACACATTTTTCCAAATTCGCAAACTCAAATTTAGTTACCTGACATTCGTTCTGTGGCACGTCGGATATCGCCATCATTAAGAACTGGAACTTGCGGCTAAAATAGAATCTGGCAACTCGTCGTTTTTTCAAATGTACAAGCGAAAAACGGTAAATATAAATGCCAGACTTGCAGAGTATCACGATACACTTGCATTTTTAATTTTTAAGATCTGTCTGGAACAAGTGGTGTAAAGTCGCCCGTTCGTGTTTGGACATATTAAGCTCTTGACTCAATGCCAGTGTCTTTATGGGCCATTCTAGCTTTAGGCAAAGGTCATTTAAAAAACAATCATCTTCAATTCTCAAGTATGACTTCATTAAACATTGCCACAGCTACCCGTTATTTTCAGTCAGATGTTACTCGACACTCGTTTCGTTGGTGGGCTGGCTATGCAATTTTTGAACCTAAGCACAAGGCGATTGACTCTGTGGTAGTGTTATTCGATTAAACACTTACGAACTATAATCGGTATGTCACACATAGTTTTTTGCTGTGGTAAACAATCTTACGAGTTGTAAGATTGTATTGATGTGGGAGCTTGATTAATGCGCAGACTCTCTAGGAGGAGGGAGACCATTGTCTGACAACGACTGTAGTTGAATCTGTTCCGTAACTAAGCGATAAAAAACTAAGTTGTTGTACTTTCCAATATATCAGATTTTCTATTTTTTGCCCAGGTTTGTGTCATTTAAATCACGGACACATAAATCACGAAATAAATTTCTTATGCATTTTATGGTGGACCAATTTAAAAACCTGTTACCACGTCGAAGGCGACACATTTATTTGCTGTTATTTATGTTTGGATATGCAGGGCACCGATTCTTAAAATATATTTTACGGAGTCATCAAACATCATGCCGCAATCATTTCACGGCTGTCTACTAGACAGTAATCAAGTAAAACAGATTAAGAGTCGTTGGACTCACCATGTGACAAATGCTAGAATGCAAACTGCAGTAACTGTTCTGTCCCATGGAATGTCGACTAAAATTCGGAAATGGGTTTTCTATTTAAAAGGCTGCAAAACTTGGGTAATGGGATTAAATGTTGCAATGAATAATAATCTGTTATTTAAAAAAGGTCGCGATACTTTTACCGGTAACCTACAAAAACCACTGTCCGTTAAGAGGACCAAATCATTATAAATTGTCCCACCGAAATTACTTAAACTGTTTAATTCGCTCATATTTTAAGATAATACACTAGGCACATTTGTTGGCGATTTGCGCGTTTTTCCCAATTTTATTCTGAAAGATAGTATACTCTTAGTTTTTGTAAGTTGTTTTAAGCTCCGCATAATTCTCATTGTTCTGCGCTTGCACCTGCGCACTGAGTTTACAGAATAAATTTTGTTTGATTTGTTTGATTCAACGCTGGTTCCTCAAGTCTTCGTTAAACGTGTAGAAAGTGTGAAAAACGGTTAAGAATTTTTATGCTCGAAAAATCGATATTGTATTGTCAGTGCCTTGGATAAGTAGATGCTGTGGGCTGACGTCACGTTTTGTCTGTCTTTCACGTTTTCCATTTTCCCATGAGATTAGTGTACGTGACGTTTAGATCAATGAGCCGATTGGTGCATCGATCATCAAAATAAATGGCCACTGGGAATTGTCGGCCTTTCTCCGCCATTTAATGGACCCGGCGACCCTGCGTGAAAATTTACAAGATAAATTGTGTTCGATTTCCCTGTGGACTCATTTTTACTCGAATTATGTTTCCTGGAATGCCCATTTTCTAATATATATATAAATATGTATGATAAGATAAGGCGATCGCAGTAACCTAAGGTATATTTGCCTGACGTTTCGAAAGCAAACAAACTTCCATCATCGGAGGTGGTTTGCCTACTGCACGTCACAGTATTTAAGGGTTTTGGTCTTCGTGCTGGCGTGTCACTGACTGCCTGCGCGATGCATCTCAAGGCTTGGCGATTTGTTGTCATGGCGGCAACGGTTCCTCCTCATCCTTTGTCGGGTGTGAAAAGGGGGGCGGCATCAGGGCCACCGCGGCCATTGCTCTTATTTGCATTGTCCGCTTTCTGTCCTCCGCGCATCTCGCCTTCCTGCCCTGTTCGCACCCGCCCGTACCCGCGTGGACGGTGGTTACCATGATAGTATTGACGTCGGGTTGGGGGTTCCTGTAATTGTCGTGGGATCTCGGCTCGCCGCCTCGTTCACATCTGACCGTAAGCGTGTTGATGGCGGTTGTCCTGCAAATGTTGACGTCGGACTGGGGGGTCTTGTCACTGTCGGGCGGTCTCACCACGGGCTGGCGTCTGTCTGTGTTCGGAACCAGAAGGCGGTCTCCTGGGTTTGTGTTCGTCGCCGGTTGTCCCCTGATTTCGTCGGTTCCCGATTCCTGTCTATGCCAGTCTGTGTTCCCGCTGGTTTTGGGTTCGACTGCTGCCGTCTCCGGCCTGACGCCTCGTCGACAGTCCTTCATATTGAATTTCGCCGTAGGGCTTGGCAGGCGGCCGGCAAATTTACGCAGTGGTTGATCGAAGTAGTTGTGGTGTGCCAGGCTTCGAGCTTCTCCCTGACCTTTTGATCGCTCCCTTGGCCCAAAACTTCGGCGTCTTGGAAGGCGAAGTCATGGTCAAAAGCTGCGCAATGTTCCGCAACCAGCGCGACCGCACCGCTCTTGCGTGCTCGTCCATACGGGTCTGCAATCTTTTCCCAGTATCCCCGACGTAGTTGGCTTCATAGGAACTACAAGGGACTACACCAAGTTAAAGTGCTTCAACATGAATCCAGTTACAACACAGGAGACGCAAAGCCAGTGGGCTTCATCGCTGCACTAGAAGCGACACTCTCAAAAAAGAATACCACGAAGGACTCAAAGAACGTGATTCGCCAACGAGTCGCGTCCCTCGTCATATCCCGCAGGCCTCGCCGAACCATTCCCCTGCAGAGGAAATGGCTATCAAGGAACTAAAGGGGGACGAAGAAATTGTCATTGTTCCAGCAGACAAAGGGCGGACAACCGTAGTGCTAGACAAGTCGGAGTAGGTTGCCAAAGCGCAGCAACTAATAAATGACAACCAATCGTATATAGTCATCGACTCCGACCCCATGAAAGCACTGGTAGGCAAAATCAACAAGAGCCTGAAGCAGATGAGGAACGAAAAGGCAATGTCAGAAAAGGATTGGAGACAAATGAAACCACAAGATGCTGCCTTAGCGCACTTTTATGGTTTGCCAAAAATCCACAAGCCAAATGTTCCCCTACGGCCCATTGTGTCGCTGAAAGGCACGCCTACATACGGACTGGCTAAATGGCTTATCAAGCATTTGAAGAAGCTGACGGACGGCTCAGAACACACAGCTGTATCGCCAACACACTTCCTGGAAAGACTAAAGTGCGTCACAATAGCCCCCGACGAAATAATGGTATCTTTTGACGTCGTCTCTCTATTCACCTCCATGCCTTAAGAATTGGCCATGAGAGCTGTCGATGGCCTACTGAAGAAAAGGTACGACGAAGAAGGAAAACCTTTTAAGAGGAGGCACGCGATGGAACTACTGGACTACTGTTTACACACGTACTTCACGTTTACGGGCAAATTCAAGGAGCCCCAATGGGGTCCCCAATCTCCGGCTAACTGGCTGAGGCGGTCTTGCATTAACTGGAAAGTCGGGTCTCCCAGACATATAAGCCGAAATTCTGGATGCGCTACGTAGACAACACCTTTGTCATCTTACACCGAGACGGGAAAGAAAACTTTAAAGGAGAATTAGACTCATTTTTTCCACAAATCCAATTTGCCATAGATGAAGAAAATAACGGAGTGCTGCCTTTCCTCGACATCCAGGTTTCGAGGCAGGAAGACGGAACCCTCCAGACTGGTGTCTTTCGAAAGGCGACAGACACGGAGAAAATTCTTCATTACAACAGCAATCACCCCTGTCGCATAAGCGTAGTTATGTCCGGACGCTTTTTCGCCGCATCCACATACTCTGCAGCACAGAATCCGAAAGGGCGCCTCTTCCTTGCCAATGGATATCGGCGCAGTTTTGTGAACAAATGCTTGTACCGAAGGCACACGAAGACGGACAGTGAGAAGGAACAAAGACTAAAAATCTTTCGTGTCTTGCCCTACGTGAGATGACACACGGCAGTAGGGAAATCTCGCATGAGGGAAGATTGGTGCCGTTGGTATTAAAGAAGCCGCTTTCAATCACAATGCGTTGATCAACATTCATATGTGTTAGTGTGCTATTTCGGCCTAATGAGGCACTAAATATGTCTCCAGCGTGAAGCACAGGCGAGACAGCTCATTCATTTAAAAATTATGTAATCTAATCAGAGCACGAGTCTACGTTTGATTGTTTGAGAAAAGTGGGGATTGTGTAAGATAGATAAATCTATAGTAAGCATATATTCTGCAGGAATATTTTTGAACCTTAGATTTTCTCCCAGGTCTAGTTACCAGCGCACGCTAAGAAGTGAAATCAACTTTCCGAAGACCACATAACATCCGTTCTCCGTTGTTTTCGGTGGGTGTTCACAGCCAATGTATATTTCACCGTTGTTTATAAACAGTCAAGGTTATCGGTTCGAAAATTTGGTGAGAGCTGCCGTCTATTGAAGACGAATCCGACGCAGGCGCTTCTTTCTTACAACCAGTTTGAATTGGCGTCGCCCACATATCTGAGCCGACAATAAAGCATCTGTTAATAAGATCCAATGAATTACTTTCGGAAGGCGAAACGACTAATGCTGTCTGTCATGCCTGACGCAGTGCTCGTAGCACAAACGACATTGAGGAAACCGGCAAATGACAGTATAGCCGCCTGAGCAAATTGGAAACGCAGGGGGTAGGATGCATAAGCCCCAGCTGGTAGCAGAAGGTGTGCAGCATGGACCTTTCAAAGAACGCCAAAATCGTCGACCGAGATAACAACCAAGTAATAAGACATACATTGGAAGCATGCCTCACGGTACCAAATGCTATCAACCGTTGCTCCAGCGGTGCGTCCTCTTACTGGGCCTAGAGCTACTAGACCAAAAACAACAAAAGGGGCTGGCGCGGTGGGATCTCACCTAGGCGTGTCGACATACCTGACTGGGATTACACGGAGTGGGGTTGCCATAAATGCCACATTAAGAAGAGGCCATGGAAGCCTGACTCTTAGACAAGCCAAGGGCCAGTCCAAACAAATACAGAACACTCGGCCAAATGTGAGGTCCAAGTTATCCTCTGAAATGGCAACCTTTCAAGCCACGGCTTTTAGCGCGCCGTGGTAGCTTCAAGCGCATCAGATTGTTTAATGTAAGGAATATGCGCCGAGCCGTCGACTTAACTCTCCCTTGCCGTGACTGACATATTGAGCAATCTTATCTGCGCGCGCCACGTGCATGAACTGGTCCCACAAACACATGCACTAAAGTTTAACATGGCGTGGTTAGGCGGCGTGCATCTCGCATGCGGGAGAAAGGCGTAGACCAGGTTAAGAAAGAGCCTTTTCAGTCTGGCATTCAACCCACCAGTCCACCACTCCACACAAACCCCCACACACATACTCCGATGCACACACTCACACTGAGTGTACTGATTTGGGGGCGTCTGTCATCAGCCATCCAAGTCACCGCGTTTGACGCACTGTGATTGTCTCGTGGTTAAATCACGCATGTGACAGACGAACCTGCATGGAGACAGCGCAAGAGATGCACATCTCCCAATTGCGTGGGAGGTAGCAATTGGATGCTTTCAGTGGACGGTGTGGCTGCTGGTCGGACTGGACAGAGAGCCCATAAGCACAACGGAGGAAGTGAGTTCCGTAAGAACAATCAGTGAGCGCCCTCTCTACCAATTATATGTCCCATGTGCAACGAACATTGTAAAAGCGCCGACAGGCGCGACTAATGCTACGTTGTTGGCCCTGGAGAACCCAGCTGCAATAACACCGACTGAAAGTCGCACGGCGAGACCCCAAGATACGTCTTTGGCCCGATTCTATGACCTCCCTAATGTGCACAAAGAGGTCGCTTCTCTTCGACCCATAGTGTCGCTCAAAGGCACTCTAAGGTACGGATTAGGTAAGGGAATATTTCGGCGTCTCAAATTTCTGACCGCTAATCCGGAAACCACGGTCTGCTTATCAACCCATTTATTTCAGTAGCCTGGCGATGTAAGTCTCTTGCCACACGACGTCATGGTATCTTTTGATGTCTTGTCCCTTTTTACTTTTCTCCCCCAGGATCTGGCAATCGAAACCGTAGAGCTACTCGTACAAGGCAAATACCGTGACAAGGAGAATTGTGATGGGCAGGCCCAAGTCCTTCAGCACCTGAAGTTCTGTCTGAGAACGTACCTTTAACTTCGACGTGGCAATTTGCGAACGGGTGAACGGCACACCAATGCCTTAGCCGATTTTGGGATTCATCTCCGAGGCGATCCTGGAACAGTTAGGGTCGCTGGTCTTCCAACACCACAGACCGAAGATCTGGGACCTGTGTGTGGATGATACCTTCGTCGTTATCGACCGGGACCAATTGGTGACATTCAAGGAACCTCTGAATACGGTCTTCCTGGAATAGAGTTTACGATGTAGGAGGAAGAGAACAACCAGCTGGCCTTCCTGGTTGCCCTTGGCTGCTACGAATCTTTTAGTGGCGACAGATAAGACGCAAATATTAACTTCACCAGCTAACACCCAATCAGCAAAAAAGGCGGTTGTGTATGGACGCAATATGAGCGTGTGGAAACGCAATGCAACGTACCGAAAGAAAAGTTTGCCGAATTGCATTAACTTCAACCTGTTTACAGAGAAAATATTTACGCGCGCAACTTCGTCAACCTGTGATTGTGCAAACGAGACGAGCGAAATAATCACAGCGATTCTATATCTTGACGAGCTTGTTAGTACATCAGGAAGGTCTCCGAGGCCGTCAGTCGCCTTCTCGCTCCCCTTGGGTTCGAAGTCACACACAGACGGGAAACCACAATAAGGGGTCAGAAGACGAGACCAAAGGGCCCACTGTCATGGCAAGAAGCTTCTTCAGTCTGGTGCAGTTACGAGCAAAGTACTTAATTCGGAAAATGTGGAAGACTGCTGCGAACGCCACTTGCCGAACACGCGGCAGCGATGTGGAGAAATGTCGCCAGCTCTCAAGTTGCGGCTCATTCGACGTGATCAGGCCACACGTTCAAACTCGATGAGGCCGAAACTCTCACGAGAGCAGACAATCACGTGAGCCGCGAGTTGCTTGAGTCATGGTTCATGGGACCTCAGTCCGTCAACAAGTGCAACGATATCCCCACTCCATATTCCGTGCCGAGGCATAGGCTGGCCAAAGTAATTATCCACTCCGGGGGCGCGCAGGCCAGTGAGCCAGATGGCCGAGCAATTATTACGCCAGTATCTATCACAGATGATGCTATTTCAGCAATTATCATCTTGCATGCCGGACGTCAAGACATTAGCGCACCGGCGGGCAAC